GAGCGAGGGAGAGTTCCAGGTTCGAACCTGTAATAAAGATCCTTGCTGCTTAGCTTTGACTCTGGACTCTGGTGGTCTTCTTCGGGGAATAAACGGTCTGGGCATAACAATACTATAATGACAACTATGTGATGACCTGCTGTCTTGCATGTTTCGTTTTCCTCAGACAGATAAATTCTGATTTTTAGTGTGAATGGTAAGAAATCCTAGGTAGATAACACCAAATGATAGCTCTTGTACCTTCAGATGTAAGGGGATAAAATAGCAGAAGAGAAGGTAAGGGAGAAAAAACAGGTAAGGGAGATAAGGAAGAAAAATCTGAGCAGTAAGCATGGCAGACTTTTTTCTCTGCCACCTCTGACCCCTCTACTGTCCTCAGCCACTCTCAGCAGTAACAGTGAAACTGCTAGGAAAGGTCACTCCAGGCTAGAAACAAGTATTTTGAAATGAGAACATACAGCAAACTGCATCATGAATTGAAAACTAGAGCAAACCATAATATTTTCCTGAACCCTAAGCATTAATTTTTACTGAAGCATGGATTAAAGTTACCTTTTCAAAAGCAAACAAAAACAAAACAAAACAAAACCCACAAACAAGCCCCCCACTACCAAAGGAATTAAAAACACAAGGGAAGAGTAGTAACCCAAATAACTACTGCATTAAAAAATGATGTGTTAGTTGCAACTAATGAACCAAAATAAGACTGTGTTACCACCTGTATAAAATTGTAAGTTTCTTGGAGGTAAGGTTTTGGTCATTCATTCATTTATTTATTTTTGTTCTCCAAATATTACCCAGGATATTGCTGACTATACATATTATTCTCAATTTCTACTATTTAAATTGACTTCCTGGAATTTTACATGGCTCAAGTCCCTCTGTACTGAATCCTATTTCAATAAATATATAAACTTCCAGCTATTTTCACTGCTTGTATATTAAGACTAAGATCATTCAATGTGAATAAGATGTTGGGAGTGCTGGTACTGTGACATTTATTATAAATAAGTCAGGTAGTTCAAGCTCACATTGGTTAAACTTAAAAGTTCAGGACTCAAAGTGATTTTTTTCCTTTCTCCCAACTAGGAAGAATTCATGTCCCCGAACTAGAAAAAAATCATGTTATCCAACTTTGACATAAGCATTCACCTTTACATTAAGCAGAAAAAGCTTTTTCATATTACAAATAGAAGAAATTTCCATATACCCTTTGTAAAATGTTATATATAAATGCTGGGCTTGGACACAGAGAACTTAATCAAAATCCTACGTTGCTTCAGGGTAGTTATATGCCAAATGCAATTTCCATTGTATTGAAGTCTCCATTCTGTAAATATTTATCTATTTTCAAAATTGCCAACATATTTGAAAAGTTTAATTGGTTTATACTCAAGGCACTAGAGACAGGGAAATTTTGCTTTCACAAGATATTTACACGCATTTATTCTGTCCACGTAGAGGACTTCTTTCAAGTGATCATAAAATTTAATGTGAAGTGAAACCATCCCAGCTACGGTCCTAATGACCAAATTAGAAGAAAAGTAATCAACAATCAATCAATCATTTTCATCACTGTACCTTTTTTCTCTGATTTATCAGAAACTTTTCCTCCAATTGGAGAGTAAGTAGTGTCCATGGACTCGGTCCCCCTGTTCCCTTTGCTAACTCCATTTGCATACAGCTCTCCTTCAACTGGTTGCAACTGCCAAGTCAGGCCGAACAAATGTACTGCTGCAAGAGAACAAGCCATACATTAATTTATTCCAGACTCACTGAGAAGATCTCCAAGCCAGGTATCCCTTTGCACCTAAAAATGTTACGAACAGTTTTCTTTTAGTTAGGCCAAGCAACTGGGAGTTTATACCTATACATCATACATGTAGCTACTTGCATGCTACGACACACATAAGTATTACCAGTTGTTATAGTAGCTGTTGTTAACATTTTGAGGCTAAAGCTATCCCAATGATAGGATTAGAAATTGGAATCAACTGTAGTACTATTAGACTTAGCTTCTCACTGCTGTGACCCTTTCGTTTTCCATTTCCCTTAGTCATGTAACACTAGTTTCCATATGGAAACTGTTACAGAGTAATGGTGGACAGACTATCATGAGAACATGGAAGACCTTCTCTATGGTTTTAATTCAATTCATTTCAGCAAATATTTCCTGAATGCCTAGTATGCATAAAGCCCTATGATAGTTGCTGCAGCTGTTAAAATGTAGATGCTTATTAGGGTGGGATTTGGTAGTAATACCAGGATAAAATAATATTATGCAGAATGATTGATATAAGACAGGTTTAAACTGCTATCAGAAGATTAAAAAGTACCCAGTGTTGGTCACTGTGCAGGAAGATGGGCACTCTCATACACTCCTGAGGAGGGTATAAAAATACAGTGACCTTTTTTGGAGGGCAATGTGGCACCATTTATCAAATGAACTGAAAATCTGATTTACCCTTTGAGCTTGTCAGGCCTCTGAGCCCAAGCCAAGCTACCGCATCCCCTGTGACTTGCACATATACGCCCAGATGGCCTGAAGTAACTGAAGAATCACAAAAGAAGTGAAAATGCCCTGCCCTGCCTTAACTGATGACATTCCATCACAAAAGAAGTGAAAATTGCCGGTCCTTGCCTTAAGTGATGACATTACCTTGTGCAAGTCCTTTTCCTGACTCATCCTGGCTCAAAAAGCTCCCCCACTGAGCACCTTGTGACCCCCACTCCTGCCCGCCAGAGAACAACCCCCTTTTGACTGTAATTTTCCTTTACCTACCCAAGTCCTATAAAACGGCCCCACCCTTATCTCCCTTTGCTGACTCTCTTTTCGGACTCAGCCCGCCTGCACCCAGGTGATTAAAAAGCTTTATTGCTCACACAAAGCCCGTTTGGTGGTCTCTTCACACGGACGCGCATGACAGAGCTAACAATTTAATTTCTGTGAATTAACTATGAACGTTGCCAAAGTACAATGCTGTCTATTGTAACATCTGAAAATAATATTAGAAAGTTATAATCAATCTAAATATTCATCAAGAGATTAATCAAATAACCAATGAGGTAGTAAATAATATAAGAGTATGTGGCTGCTAAAAATCATGTTGCAGAAGACCATGCAATGGTATGGGAAATATCCATAAGGTATCAAATGAAAAATATTAGGCTATTAAACATTATAAATAGTGTGATTTGAAGTGTGTGTGTTTGTGTACGTGTGCACATGTTCATGTCCAGAGAAAAAAGGTTTGGAAGAATATATAGCAACATGTTAACAGCATGGGAAACTTACAGAGAATTTTTATTTTTTTCTTTATGATTTCTGTGTTTTCCATATTTTTTACAATGTACATGTGTAACATTTGCTATCTGGGAAAAAGGAAGCTTTTGCTTTAAAAGAAATGGTTTAAAGGAACAGTAGATTAAAATAGGTTGGGATGATCAAGAATAATTTTTGAAGGAAGTGGGAGTAGATACAGACCTTGAAGGATGTGTAGGGCTTTGACAGGTGACAACAATTGGTGGGGAGAAGGGACAGGGCTGAATAAAGTATGACTTTGTAAAGTACATGATGTATCTGAGGCAAAAGAAGTTGCTGGGGTTCACTGGAGCTTAGCTATATGCTGGTGCTAGTGGAAGTTAAGGCCAGAAAGGAAGATTGGAGCCATATTGTAGAGGACACTGAGTGGCACACTTATACGTTTAGATTCAACTTATTAGGCAACAGAAAGGCATTTCTATTTTTTGAGAGACTGAGTGATATGATCAGAATTTTTGGAGGATTAATTTGATAGTGGGGAGCACTGAGGTTTTTAGGCAAATAACTGATATAATAAAAAACATCCTTTGCAGAAAGATAAATCCAGTAGTAGTATGGAGAATGAATTGGAGACCTAAAGATTTGGCAAATAAGTCAATTGGGATGGCATTGCAATAATCTAGCAAATAAGTAATTAGTGCTCCAATTAGAGTAGTGTCACAGGAGTGTCTCAATTATTTGCAGTGGGAATGCAAAGAAGATTTCTTAAGGAGAAACTGCATAAATTGCGTTTCAGGATTTGGCAACAGGTCCTCTCTCCTCTCTCTCTCTCTCTCTCTCTCTCTCTCTGTCTCGCTCTCTCTCTCTCGCTCTCTCTTTGTGTGTGTGTGTGTACGTGTGTGTTTGTATACACATTCATACATGTGTATAGGTGTGCTGAGGGAGGGCATAGAAAAAAGTGAGGGAAAGGAGGGAGGAATCCAAAATGGTTAAGGTTTTGAGCCTAACTGAAACAACGGTGGAACCATTAATAGAGTTAGAGAATTCTTTATTAGCCTACCACTTGCTACAAATAGTTGGTGCTGGATTTCTGTTTTGTTGATTGATGACTATTTGAATATGTGGCTTGAGACCGGATGAGAAGATGCAAGGAATGCAATGAATTCAGTCTTTGGGGCTGTTGAGTTTCTGGGAATGATGGGCCCTCCAGATAGTGAATGTTAACGATAGGAGGTTTGAAGTTCTGGAGGATATTAGAGCTAGAAAAAGACTGAAAAGTCATATATGCACAGAGACAACAGTTGAAGTTGTGAGAGTGAATGAAGTCACTGAAGGGAGAGAATGTTAGGAGAAAACAGTGCCTAGGGCAAAAAGCTGGAGAAACCTCTTGTTTGTTTTCTCATTGCATTTTTCAACATCAACCAAATCCTACCAAAAGGCAAAAAAAAAAAAAAAAAAAAAAGTGAATCTGCTCATAAGCCATTTTATATTTCTCTTTGTGTTCCTAGGTGAACTGAAAGGGGCTAATTAGTATGTGTAACGCTCATGTATAGCATTTGAGTTAGTGACTGAGAACAGAGAAGGATAGCCTATTTAAAAATCATTCACCCACTTTTAGTTGGAGCTAAAGAGATTTCTAACACCTACTTCCTAATTTATCCTTAAAACTTTTAAGCATTTAATTGGTTTCTACCCTTTTCTTTGGATTAAGGCCAGTGCTGCCTGAGGAATTTCTCTTGCAATTATTGGAAATAATTTTAACTCAAAGGATAGTGGTTCTGAGTAAGGTATGGTATGGCACATTAATAAAGCTATATTAGTGACATCCTTGAGATTTCCTTGCCAATGGACTCTAAGTTTGGTTTAACACACCTGTTCCAATTAGAGGTATTTTTCGGTTTTACAGAAAATTTGGTCTACTCTGCCTCCCAAATAATTTGAATATGATGGATAGTAGGAGCTATATTGAAAATGTGTTTCATTCCCTTAGTTCAATTACTTTTGTGAAATTAGATGGACCATATATAACAAAAGGCATAGTAGTTTTCATTTAGAAGACTAAGGGGGTTATTTTATATGCTTTAAGTTGAGCCAGTTTCCTGAGGCACTTGAAAATGTAAGAAAATGCATGTGGTGAGATTCACTTCAAAATATATAAGGCAAGGATTAATTTTTCACCATCAAATGAAATGGACTGCTTCCATTCAATCAAGACACATAAAGAGGTATGGGCACATTTAGTAGAGCACTCTTTGAGAGCAGTGAAGCTTGGTAATTTTTCGAACTTGCTATATCTTTCCCAGGGAACAAGCTGTTTGTAATATATATTTGTGTGAATATATGATGAAAGTTAATTATTTGCTACAGACCACAGACAAGTATCATGGCAAGGCTACTGGCCTTTTATTTCGTCCAAACATAGGTACTGGCCAACCAAAATGGCTATCAGATATAAACAACTAATACAGTCTAACCAGTACACACTGGCTGAATGTCAGCTTTAGATACAGTATAAAGACAGCTTCCTCAGTTTCTAGCAGATTCCCATCCAGATTTATGCCATGTGTTTAGAGCCACACTGTTTAGGTGAGTCCCCCAAACCCAAGAATAGACATTATGAACCAATTGGCTAGAATAAGGGTAAAATTAGTAATGAACAAACAGGGCAATATTAAGTCATATTCACACGTTGATTCAACAAATACTTTTTTTGAGTGCCTACTCTATACCAGGCACTGTTTTGTTTTTGTTTTTGTTTTTGTTTTCTGAGTTTACAACAGCAAACAACATAAGAAAATCTCTACCCTCCCAGAACTTATATGAGAGGGTAGTGGGTTAAGACAGGCAAAGAAAAAATACATGATATAAAATATAAGATAGAATATAACTGTTATGGAAACAAACCAAAAAACAAAAAACAGCAAATAAACTAGATAATATTGGGTAGTTATAAGTGCTATGAAGGTAACAATAGGTAAGGGTGGTCAGAGAAGCCCTCTTGGAGGAGGTAACATTTGAACCAAGATTATAATGAAGTGAAGCCATTGTGAATATCTAGGGGAAGAATCTTCCAGGAAGACAAAATAGAATTTATAGAAAGCCCTGAAGTCTTACATGAAGTGTGTGAGAAATACTAAGGAGCCCAGTATGAGCTCAGTCAGAACGGCAAAGAGTGGTAGGAACACTCATACACATAAGTACCGGACCCATAATCTTGTTACCTCAGTACACTAGCCAACTTTGCAAACTGGTCACCAACAAATAAGAATTAGAAAGTAATAAACCTAAAATCTCACATACCAGAATATACACCTTCAAATGAGCACTGCTGGTTAAAGTAGATGTAATATAAGTAGTCTTGACTGTAAGTAAGGTCAAATTTACTGTTCCCTAAGACATAAGACATATAACACACACACACACATATGTCATATATATATATATATATATATACACACACACACACTCAATG